AACGCCTAAGAAAAACGTGGATCCAATTATTATATCCATTATCCAGCGCCTAGCAAATGCAAGGTGCCAGGTTGCCACTGAGATGCACTGAGCATGGCATCGTCCTCAAGCACTGCTCCCCGGGCGCCGACCATGGCTGCCCACTGTTCACTTGGTGATGGGTTAAATGCAGAGGTTAAATTTCATTGTGCATGGTGTGCTGTGCTGTGCTATGTCACAAATTACAAATAAAGATAAGTTTAAGTTTAAGACGCCACCATATCTCTGAACAATTGGCCGCCACTTCATTAATGACAAAACCGAATGGGATTGGACATGCTGTTAGCAGAAAAAGGGGGCATTTGCTCTATATTTGGTGATCAAACCTGTACCTTTATTTCAAATAATACCACTCCTGACAACTCAGTCTCTTGGGCTCTGCATTGATTACAAACACTATCACAAAAGATGGCAGAACACTCGAGGGTAGAGAATACCTTGGCGACTAAACATTCGGAAGTGGAAAAACGATCTGATGACGAACAATGTTCTGTGCACTAGCATTATGTGGATGTTGTATTCCTTGTATCTGCTCTATTTGTAATATTTGTCATATTATTGTTGCAGCAATTAAAAGACAGGACCCTACTCCACCCTACCAACTGCCTATGATGGTAACAGGGACCATGTCCTTGGCACCAATTGATGACTGACGAGTCTGACCAAGAACATTAGATTTAAAACAAGTGTTGTTGGTCTCATGTAGATGATTGAGTAATTGTGTGACAACTGTAGCATGGCAGTTGGAGAATGCCTTTATAAATCATAATAGTGTGTATATCTGAGTGACGAAGGTCACAGTAATCAGTGAGTTTCAGGACAGAGGCGCCAGCAACAGCCAGAGAAGTGGAGTTAGAATCTAAGAAGAAGAACAAGACCATCTCATCAGAGAGGAATGTCTCTGACAAAGCCATCCAATCAGAAATGGACAACGGTTGCGTGCACAACTCTGTTACGCTTAAAAACCTGGGTCAGGGAAAGATAGTTGGTCAGACTTTGTGAACTGACATCCTATGCTGTTTGTCAGGGACACATAGATCTAACCCAGAGCTCTGGATCTGCCTAATTTGCTGATTCTATAATAAATACGAGTTAAGCCTAAAAATCTTCTCCTATTTGCTCCATAAAAGAACACAACGTATCTGACTCAGTCAATATATTATCATGCTTTCACAAAAACTTGATTTTAAATTGGATGAAACTCAAATTTGCAACTTTGCCTCCTACTGGCAGTACTTGGAGATTAACACAGCAGTGTTTTGTCCTAATTGCGTACCTTCCAGAAGTCTTCTTTCAGAAATGTTGCTTGACATGAAGGCACTCCTGTCCAGAGAACTTTGCTTCTGGAGTAGGTCACTAAGAAGGAGTTTATCTCAAACCTTGTGCATTGAATACCAGCAGAGGCCGCTACAAACACCTGAGAGAAGACCATACTAGATTTACTATCGTAAATAATAAATAAATACATGTATATACTTTTTTCCATAACTCACCAGCCTTCCATCTCCTGATCCCAGATCTGCTAATCGACCTCTTCTACCTTCAAGAAGCTTCATGGTGTGAAGTGTTTGATCTTTACTGGAGGGCAAATAAGGAACCTGGACCAAAGTACAACTAATCTGTGAGTGGATCAGTGTGAAGGTATCAGGTGCCTTTCGTTGCAAAACACCCCTTCTGTTAAGTTATCAGTTTCAATTGAATCTGCCACAATTCTACACCTCATGTCTGTTATCTTCACAGTAAGAGAGAAGCTAATAGCATAGCATTTAAGTTGCAGAAACTTTGAACAATACACATCTCTCTGAAATCCATAGTTTAGCATAACACGCAACAGAATGTTTAGTTCCATTTCATAACATCACAACCTGAGAGCAGAGGACGAGTGCTGACAAAATATTACAGAATCAGTTTCTTAACATTCTGCTCATGGCCATATTTTAAATTATACTGATCTTGTAGCATAATGTATGGAGCTTGCACATAATCATAATAATGTACTGTTTATTATGGTTAAGTTGTCCATAACAGATTCATAGTTTATGGACTTACCAGCTTCTTTTTTTCCCACATTTGTTGCTAGCAGGGGGCATTATGCTCCAAGATAAGCAAATAATTGTTAATGTGCAAGTTAGGTTCTGTAGCAACCTCATACCTTAGATTTGATTTATTATGCATCTTTAAAAAAATGAAAGTTAATGAAACTCTTTATCTACCTTAAGCCTCCATGGGATTTGACGGAAGCCAGGTACTATGAAGAGTTTCCAGAGCGTAGTCCGACCTCCACCTTGAAGTCTTCGGTCCTTCCAACAGCACACCTCACCACTGTTATGTACTATCCTCATACATGTCCTGCACTAATCTAACATACTTCTCTGCCAATCCTGACTTCCTCATACAAAACCACAATTCCTCCCTTGGCACTTTGTCATATGCCTTTTCTAAATCTACAAATACACAATGTAGCTCCTTCTGACCTTCTCTGTACTTCTCCATCAGCATCCTCAAGGCAAATATTGCATCTGTGGTACTCTTCCTAGGCATGAAACCATACTGTTGTTCACAAATCTCCACTTCCTGTCTCAACCTAGCTTCAACTACTTTTTCCCAAATCTTCATTGTATGGCTCATCAACTTTATCCCTCTGTAGTTGTTACAACTTTGTGCACCACCCTTCTTATAAATTGGCACCAGAACACTTTTCCTCCACTCATCAGGCATCTTGTCAGTCTCTAAAATTCTGTTAAACAACCCAGTCAGGAAATCTACCGCCACTTCTCCTAAGCACTTTTCTAACTTTTCTAACTTAATCCTTTCTAACATGATCTACCTTCTTCCTAATAGTCTCTGGTTCCTC